GCTTTCAGCGCTAAGCCAAGTAATGGAGGTACTTCGCTTTGTCAAAATTTTCACGTAGTTGTTTGGCTTTTTTGTGGATGTGAATTTCTCACATTCTCACCGACAATCTCCGGTACAACGACGACGGTTCTAAATACCATGTTAAGCGGTGTAAATTTTGAAATGTCATTTCGTAATTTGTCTTGTGTTCTCTGTGTTCGTATCTTGATGTTCGGAGTTTTCATAATAACCCCATTTTGTTGCTTTAATCTTACGCCTATAACTTGGTTGAGATGGAGGCAATGACACGAACCCATTCCTCATCCCGGATAACTCTCAACAACCTCCCCAACCTTCCGTGGCCGCCATGTGGCAGCAAGGGTTTGGCGCTGCTCCAACAAGCGACTCTGGATTTACCAGCAATGCAGAGTCCCAGGGCGGCTCCATGACGTCTGGAAACGAACAAGCTAGTGCTCAAATCAATCCATTTGGTGTCGTGAAACAGGAGCCAGGCAAGTTACTCATCTGGTCACGAGATGAGAAACTTCGTTAACATTGCTATTTCTAGTCTCACAATTCCAAGGAGTTGGAGCACCTTTCCAGCAGGATCTGCAGCGCTTTACATCTCAAAACTCGTCATGTGAGAAGACTATTTGAATTTTTTGCTCATTTTACATACATTCTTTTACGTAATATTTTACAGAGAATTGTTTTTTCAGCGACTGAATCCCCTATATCATTCCCACAGCAACAACAACAGCAGCAACAGCAACCAACAGCTCAACCTCCTGTAACCACTGCTGCTCCACCACCAATTCCTCCTGCGCCCAAAGGAATTTATGAGAATACACCGTTTTGTAAGTATAATATCCTTTCATTGTATATTCATTGCTATCATAATTTCCGTCATTTAATTTGTCATATCAAGTATTGTTCAGCTCACACCGATGGGAGCTATTCCCAAGGACAAAGTTCGTTCCCACAACAGAGTCAGAGTACCTTCCCACAGGGCCAAAATCCGTTCCCAACTTCTATGCCGCCGGCTGGTGGAAATGAGCAAAGTGCTGAGCCACCTGCACAACAGAGTAGGATCATTTGAAAAAGCAAAAGTTTCATTCTGATCCTAATTTGTTTGGAGAATTTCAGTAAAAACTGAGCTGTTTTGATTTTCGTTTGGGACTTTTTTGTAATTCTAACAGCAAAAGCTCCTACCTCGTTTTTTAAGTAAAGGCTACATTTTTTTCGCCACATTATATTCTAAAGCCTAGTCACGGTATTCAGATGAAGTTAGCTGTACAGAAATAACATTCACTACGGGCTTTCCTTTTGCTTTATAAATTAAGAATTTATATAGATTGAATAATATGCATTTTACAGGTTTCCCTCCCCAACAGCAAGGTGTGCTTAACTTCTGTAATCGTCGTTGTCCTGTCGCTGTATCTTGTTTTTTTTTTTCGTAGACTGTTCATAAGTTCTGTATGCGTGTATGTGCATTGCTTGATGGTGTTTAGGAACGGGTCGTTCGGAACATCAGAAATTTCTTTTCTGCTTTAACGATGAATCTAGAAAAATCATCGCTTTAGGTACCTTTGATCCTTTTGCTACCAATCAACAGGGACAAGGAAAAATTGGCGGAGACATTGATTCAGCTCTATCGAATTTGGCTGACAACCTGACAATAAGTGGAAATAACCAAGGGTGAGTATTTGCACCATTTTTGCGTCGAAATTACTGAATTTTACCAGTTTATGTTGCGTTTTTTTGCTATGCTTTATTTTTCGTAGACGCCCTGTGCAATGGGGTGGCCAACCACAACAGCAAGGACAACAACAAGCACCGGTATCGTCCGCGATGCCTGCACCTTCGATGGCGCCACAAATGCCCACTTATGGTGCACCCCAATACACCAATCCCTATGGTCAATACGCCCCTCAACCCTATGGCGGCCAAATGCCACAGTGGCAAATGCAGCCTCAGAGTATGTTCGAAGATTTTGTGACCAATCATTACTATTACTTATTGTTGCCTCTCATTCATTACCTGTTATTATTTTATCATTGATTTTGTTTCTAGTGTTCCCAACACAACAAGCTCCCGGTTATAATATGTACGGTGGAGGTGCGATGGGTTACGGACAAATGCCCGGCCAAATGGCCAGCCAAATGCCAGCAAGTCAACCGCACCCTCAACAAGGACAGGATCCATTTGGAGGATTTTAAGTTGAGGAAGTCTCCTTAATTATGAGATATTTATAAATTATTACATAAGAGCCAAGCTTATGTCTCGTCCAGGGCCCAAATTTTATGTTCTGAATCGCTCTAGCGTGCAATCCGCTCTTGTATGAAAAGCCCATAGATACATGCATAATTTGTGCAGTAATGCACACCGAACACCGTTAACATTTGTTTATGCATAGTGATGGTTGTGAAGTCGATTTTGTAAGATGCAATAATGCGTCACAGTGTTAGTGCTCTTCGTGTCGGTTCACTATTGATACAGTTTTTCTTCATATTTATTGAACAGTTTCAGTCCTTGTATTTGAGAATCGCGGAATCTTCTGCTTTTTACAGATACCAGTTTCTAGTTCACCAGATACGTTCCTACTTATATATTTATACATATAGATAAATTATCGTTCTTTACAGAGGATGAAGAAGTTGTGAAATTACAACATATTGACATTTGCATTAGTGTTGCTCTCGAGATTCTTATTGTCATAAGCTTACCTTATATACTTTTCTCCCCAAACTTCTACTTGTTCGCTTAATGTAAACTGCGATTGGTACCCGAATAAACATAGAGAAATTTTGTGATCTGTGTCAAAATAGAGTGGCGTTTGTTCGCTCCTGCCTGTTAATAGGTGTGTTCGATTGGATTTTGCCTCAATTCAATTAGAAAAAGTAAAACCGATAAAACTAGGAGTACTGAGTAGTCTAATGTCTACTGCGAAAATATTGCGTTTTCTTATAACGAGAATCTTCTGGGAACAAAAATCTCTTCATTTACCTGGCATTCAAGGAAGTCATTTCTTCGGAGAGGTGGGAAAATCCTACAATCTGCAAAAAAGTAATCTGGATACTCCATTATCATTGCATTAAAGGATTATCCCGGTAGACTTCGAACTTGGATATTTTACGACCCTCAGACCTCATGCGTGTGCTGAATCCAAAAATTGCGCTTTGAAGACTTTGCAGTCATAACAAGTAGTTTTTTGGAATGCGAAAAACGATGCGTGGGCAAATTTGGTGAAAGCAATTAACTACCCACAGATGAGCGCAGGAGCGAAGCCCATGACTGATTTAGCGCCAAGAAAAGCCTAGGAGGGAAAGTGCTGCTTGAATCAGGGCTCAGCACAGCTGGCACCGGGTCAAGCTGGATATCGTTTTTAGCGCGGAAAGCAAGGGGGATATTATCGTTTCTACAGGGGCCGAGGCGGAGAACTGCCGCAAAAATGCCGCCGGCATGCCACCGCCATGCCATTGGCAAGCTGACCATCAACAAACAAAGGCGTGGTTTTCAGCCATAACGCAATAGTATGACACCAAATTTGGTGTGTGCATGCGCGTTGGTGGACCGGAACTACGGGCCAAAAATTTATGAAAACTTATGTGAATGAAAGCTGTGCCGAACTTTTTTGTGAATTAGCTGGCACCGTGCCAGCTGAGCTGGCACCGACACTTTGCTCACATAAGTTTTCATACTTTTTTACATATAATGTATCTACACTGTAAAATATTACATACGGAAAAGAAACAGTTTCATAATGTTCTCTTTTCAGCGTTTTATAGCAATTTGAAAACCACTCGGTCCGCTCCGCCGTCGAAAAATCGGCTTTTTCTGCTTCTCAAGATGTGATTCGACCACTTAAAAAGCTCAGAAAGCTGTGAAAAGTACTTTCATGAAATCAGAAATGCATGAAAACACTACTACATTTTTTTACATAATATAAAAATTATGACGGGTTTTCAAAACAGGTCAAAAGGGACTTCGTACGAAATTTTCAATATCAAAGGGGACTTCGTTTTGAAATTTCCCTGGTGCCAGCTCGTGCCGAGCCCTGGCTTGAATCTGCAGATTTATAAGGAAGCAAGCGAGTTAATTTGTTGGCTGTTCACTAAAACAACAGTGACAGAATTTTAGTTCATGAAGGCTTACATTTGATTGCATTGTTTGTAAAGATTGGATAGCCACGCAAACCTGGATACTTGTCAACTCTTTTGACATGTAGTACCGTACTCGAGGCATCGATTAGCCCGCTTGGGAGGGATACGGTACTGGGCAAGTGTTAAAAGTTGACTTGGACATAAATGAATTATCTATGCTGCTATCTGGGTAATGCCTTAATGAGAGTCTCTCAGTGAGTTTTCACATAAAAAAACTCAGAACACCTAAATCTGCTTAGATCCTGCCTTCAACCCTATAAGGAGATATCAGTTGTAGATAACGGTGAGAGAGCTGTCGCGTTAACACATAATCACCCAGGAGACAAAACTTACAAGAAAAGAGAACAAGATAGAAAGCTGTAGAATTTGTGCCTCGAATCAAGTTATCTGCCATAGAAGTGTGCAATTCGAACAGACAATCCGAAAGTTTGCAGCTTAGGGCAAAAAATAGAAACTTCTCCAAGGAAAATTATAAAATCTGGTTCTAGCATACTGACGTCGTTCCAGTGTCATCGCTCAATCAACGTTTCGGACACTTGCACCTTTTGATTTGTTTGTGGAGAGACGGGTGCACCTGTTCATTTCGTTTGAAATGCGTCAAATATGAAGTTCGTCGCTGTCGAGGATCCTTCTAACTTTTTGACTGGGGAACTTTCTGGCCAGAGAATCCAATAAAAATCCTTTCTCCAGAATAAAACGAGATTTTTGCACCAAAATTTTGTTTTGTACTTGACCAAAGTGCATCAGAGTGCACTTTACATTGTGTCGCTTCGTATTGTTTCAGTCATACTCTTTCCAGTGTGCTGCAGTTTTTATAGTTTCATCGAAAATACCACATTTTTTGATTTTTTTGTTTTGTTTGCAGAGTGCTCCAGACAGACTCCATGTCTCGCTGCATCTTACGGTTGAGACCGGTTTTCTTTGGTGAAATATCACCTAGAGCTGCATCAACTTACGTGAGTTGTGTGCCAGAAGAATTTCATAGAAAAAGAAGTTTTTTCAGACATCAAATGCTGACCTTGCGAATGCTTTGGAAAAATGGAAAGGAGGTGCGGTTGATTTGGCTGTCAGCGGAGCTGTCGCGAGGTTACGGTTAAATCGCCCGGAAAAGAGTAATTGCTTGTCGGGAGAAATGATGGTGCAGTTGAGAAAAAGATCGGAGGTATCGTATTTTACGTTGCTCTAAAAACTTATTTCTAAAAAATCTGCACAAATAATCAAAATTTTTCCAGGAATTAGCTTCACTTTCTGAACCGGGCGTATTAGTCGTGGAAGGAGTAGGGAAGTCTTTCTGTAGCGGCGCCGATCTTGGGTTCGTAAAGGAGGTATTTTTGCTACTTCTGCTATACCTAAGCAACATTTTGAATATCTATTGTTAGGTGAGCGATCCAGTAATTGGAAGCGCCTACTATCAGTTCATGTTTGGTACTCTGCGAAATATTCGAACATCTCCACTTGTAAGTTCCACATATTACTGTGGTCATGTAATGATTCACTAGTTTCCTCTACAATTTTACTTTGTTTTTTTTATTCACATGGAACATTTATCTAAGCGATGTTTTGGAATAGCTGGTATCATATTTGTTTAAGGTTTTTCTGGTGCTTCCTGAGTGTTATAGTTATTGAATAAGATAGAACAAATGAAACTAGAAAAGCGAGCCACTATTGAGTCACTCAATAAGTGTAACATTTTTGTAGGTGAGCGTCGCACGACTTCATGGACACTGTTTGGGTGGTGGCTCAGAAATCGCAACGTCATGCGACCTTCGATTTGCTCACAAAGATGCAAAAGTGAGTTTCTCTTAGGCATATGAACAGGGAACCAAAAAGAACCATTGTATAGGCAGAGAAAAGGCGTTTCGCGGTGCATAAAACGAAAAGAGGGACTTGTTTTCACTTGAAAGAATTTTTGAATTTTTTCTGATAAAATTGGATTCTTTATTCTGATGCAAAATCATCGAAATTTTCAACATTTGAACTTTGGCTTTTGAATTGTGGAATCATCAACTAATAGTGCGTTCCGGACCATAGATTCCATTTATTTTATATTTATTTTTATCTGTTTCATTTTAATTAGTTAAGGTAGCATATTATTCAGCATTAGAGTAATCAGGTGCCCGCAAAAAATAGGTGTTTCCTGTTGAAGAGATGTTTGTCAGGAAAGTGAAAAAACAAACTTTATGATTTTTTACTGCTCTAGATTTCGACTGCATATTAACAAAATCCACAATTTCCTATAACCATACAGTCTTCTATTCTTTGAGTTGAATTTTTTGAGGTTGTGATTTAAGCACCATTCCAATCTGCACTATGTGATTTTCGTGATTTTTTAAGGGAAAAAACATACAAGCACCTGTTCATGAGGCCAGTCATTATTACATGAGGTATCGTCGATTCGTTGACCGTACGGACTGCTCAAACGCTGCAAACCACGCGCGGCGCGGCTGTATTGCTAGGAGTGCACTACTTGTACAATGGTGGATTTGTACTGGGCAAGCGTTTTACCCCGCGGCGCGTGCTCCGCAGTGATGTCCAGTCCGTGCGGCAACGAATCAACTATAACTCAAAACTTGCAGATTGTGTAGAATCCTGTGAGCTTCCAAGTACATTAGATTAGGACAATCAAATTTTTCGCTCTTTACTATTATAGATTCATTCCAACTTTTCATTGTATTATACTTCGCAGCCTTTAGTGCATGAGTACCTACGCAACAGGTAAAAAAATAAATTTTTTTTGTTCTTGCGAAATCATATTGAGTTAATTTCATTTTAATTAGGCAGGGAAACAGATTTTTGTGCTTTTGGGGCAGTTCTTATAATTTATGGTCCTTAGGTGATTGGTAGAGCAATTTGAGAATATGTTGTGAGTATGTTGTAAGTAGATTCTTCAAGGTAAAGGTCTGCAGGTCCTTTACCCGAGGTGTGCAGGGTTACATTACCTACTAAATAATTTATTAAGGGGAAGAGGAAAGGGGAAGAGGGCATCGGCTCCTGCCTGCCGGTGTAGGTCACTGCCAGTGGTTCGCTATCTTAGGTCAACCTCCATCGCGAGCAGCTGTTGGGTAATAGCTTTATTTTAAGCATTTTTGATTGGACTCGTTTGCGAATACCGGAGAAAAGAGGCCTAACCATTTACATATGCACAATAAAATAGCGTTAGCGCTGACCTCATGACTCAGAAACGCTTTTGCTACTACACTCCTGTTATAATAGCGCCATGACATAGTATAGCGCTTCTTGCATCCTCGGTAGCATCCCCTCGCGAAAACTGTTGGCATATACGCACGAAAACTTGCGTTGGCGCCAGCCGTATCTCCCCAGTATCCCACCAACCAGTAAAGCGCGTAGCTGGGCGCGAGGCAAGAGATATGCCGCGCTTCTTACAGCGTGATTAATGATTCTATAGTCGGTTTCCTTCTGACAATTGCCCAACGACATCACAACGAAGGTTACGGTATCGGGAAAATTAGTGGAATACAAACTGCATTCAGACTTTTAGAAATTTCGATTTTTCTAATTCTTTTCTCCTTTTCCCTACCTTTTACATCTGTTCAATTTTCATTTTAAACGCTCACTCTTCTCAGCTTATTATGTTAAACCAAGAAAATTGCGAAATGGAAATTTTATTCAACAATTCCACGATACTGGATATGAAACACTGCAAAATACTAAACCTTCAGTGTCTCCCTGCGATTTCGTTGATCTGTCTCGTCAGTTTTCTTCCTCCTGAGACATTTTTTATGTCAACGGAGCTTGTGGTCCCGCGGCGCAACGTCTCTTCGAAAGACTTCCCAACGGGTGTCTTGCACCCGTACTTGATTACATATAAATCACCGAATTGCAGACAGACGGTCGCACGGTCGGCTTTCCGTTTCTCCCCATCGCCTGACCATGCTTTAAAAAGGTAACCGCTGCAATCGTGGGGGCTGCCTATAATTGAGCACAATTATCGATATATATATATATATATATTAAAAAAAAGAGATCATACTTACACTGCGATGTAGGTCCAAAAATGCTTTTGACCTCCAGAAGTACTGTTTGATCGTTCTGGATCTTGAATACAGTCCTTTTCACCTCCCCGCTGACTAGCATGGAAAGGATTTGCTCCTCGAAGAGCAATGTCTCTTCCAGGTGATTTCCTGGACGCCTACCATTCGTGATGGATATCAGCGTGCGTAAGCACGCTGTATCTTCCCCCATGTCTGCATTTTCCTGGAAATTTATTTTATACATTTCACATAAATTTGAAAAAAAAATTTTCTCTTTCCCTTCTCAACTCCATGTTGATTATCCGCTCAGACCGTAGATTTCTGTCATTCACGTACTGCGCTTTCTCGAATTGGTACTGTAGCCGCCCGAGTTCCTCCTCCTTTTTGCGAAGTCGCTCGCGTACAGTATCCAGCGTCGTGCAAAGGTGCGTGCGAGACGAGACAGTGTCCTCGTTTTCAGTCAGCTGGCGCTGCGTCGCCTCTAACTGGCACTCTAAGCGGACGATTTTGCACTCCAGTTGCTGAATTTTTGCCTTAAAAATTTTTTTCTGTAATTCATACATAAAATTGCAATATTTTCCACTAACATTTTCATCCGCGCAAACAATGTCCGCATTTTCATCCAACTGGCGTTGCGCTTGGCCCAGCTGGCGCTCTAGGCGAGCCACCATGGATTCAAGCTCCGCATTATGGAAATGGACGTGGCTGTGAGTTCCCTTGGATGAACTCAGAAAAGACCTCCTGGACAACTTGGAAGTCCCCTTGTTCCTACCACGCCGTGTTCTTTGAAGACTTGTCTAAAAATAATCAAAGTGACAATTACTCGCGAAGCTTCGACACAAGCTCGAGATCGAACTTTTCGTAGGAATGGAGATGTCGGGAGATCATCTGTTATCCATGACTCCCACGCTCGAGTCTGCGTGAAGCAGGTGATGTGGAAGCTGAGTCTGTTATAAAAAGGAGAGTCGGGTCTCTCCTAGGACGACGACCAGGAGCTGGCTGGCTGTCGTCACGGCTCAGCTCCATCCCTTACCCCTTCCCCCTTTTTCTATCATGTATATATCTTATGTAATAAATCTATCATGTATATATCTTATGTAATAAATCTATTTATAACCATGTCTTATCGTACCTCTTATTCCCGCTACAAGCTCAGGAAAGCGAACTGCAGACCCTTCATCCCGACAGTCTTCGCCATTTTAGATAACACAGAAGCAAACTTCAAATTCTTATATACTCAGCGGCGTAGCGGGCACGACTGTTGTCGTTGACCGTATAAGTTGCATAAGAACAGACGCTAAGGGGTCATATCGTGCAACTGTTGTTACTGGCCATACGTATAATTGTAACAGATTAGGTTACGCAATTATCAATCCTGTTCCAAGGTTTATCGCGACACAAAGCAGACGCAGCATTTGCACTAGTCGGGCTGTAAGGTCATAGCACAAATAGTAGTAATTTGCTGCGAGGTCATATGCTTACAACCTACAGCTGCGTTGCTTTATCGCCAAAGGGGGTCACCGTGCGCGGACAGTAGCACTGGATCTTGCTAAATTGCGTGAGAGTTCGAAGCATTACGATTGGTCGACACTTCCCAGCAGTGCAGTGGGGCCAGCAGATTCATCTTTCTGGGTCTAATACTGCATTTTTTGAATTTTATACTAGCAGTTGCATACACGTCCATTGTCTAATTATAAAAAAGAGAAAAAAAAGAATAAGTCAACAAAAATACACAGAATCACGTTTTCACGGACTTACGGATCATGGAATCACGGCATTTTTTTTTTCAAAAAAAAATTCACGGATGTGCAATCACGGGTTCACGGACTCACAGATCACGGCTGCTAAATGCGCTTTTGAATTTACGGATTCACGGATCATGGGATCACTGATCCCGGGAAATGCGAGCGCTTCGCGAAAGAAAGAATTGACAAAATGGCTGTTTGCAGGATTGTTATTTTTATTTTATTTTATTCTTTCTGAAAAGGATTAAATATTTTCATTGCAAACAAAGTAGTATAAAACTCACACACTCTCTTTCATCCGTTTGGTGAGCGACTCCTTCCATACGATCGGAGAGTTGTCGAAGGGGGGGGGGGGGGAGGGGATCAAAAGTCAAATCCTATACTATATCAAAAGTTCATTAAAATAAAAACTGATCTTAGAATTCCAAAAAATATCTCCCTGGGACTTTCATGTCAGGATAAAGGTCTGCAAGTCCTTTACCTGAGGTGTAGCGGGGTTACGTTACTTACTATAATATTTATTACACAAGATATATACAGAAAGGGGAAGAGGAAAGGGGGAAGAGGACACCGGCTCCTGCCGGCGAGTGGAGGTCACTGCCAGAGTTTCGCTGTTTTAGGCCAACCTCCATCGCGAGCAGCTGTTGGTTAGTAGCTGCATCCCTATAATACTCAGTTTCACTGGCTTTTCTTGGGATCCGAAGGCAGTTTTTCCAATGAATACGTTCTCTAAGCGGCACATAGGTCACTTTGTCCAAATAGACATCGCCCTGTAAGCGGCACGGAGGGTACTTCGATTGTTCGGGGAAAAATAGATTTTGTACGTTTGGGGCAGTGCTTATAATTGACTGTCCTCAGGTGGCACGTAGAGCAATTTAAGGATACGTCGTGAGTAAATGCTTAACTTCGTTTTTTTCTTCAGTAAGAGCAGTAAGATATTTCCTTTGTAGATGTGTTCTTTGGAGGCGGTGTCCCAGAAAAATGTCTTTCTCGTTTATTCATCATCTTTTCGTGCCTTTTCGTCATGCTGAAACCATATCTGGGCTTTTTCAGTGCATGAAAATGATTGAAATGAGCTCTTTTCGAAGCTCCCCAAATCCGCATTCCCTCAAAACTACGTGTAAGTGGGCGGTCGGGAAGAATTATGGAGTGGATCTTAAACCTTCTAGATGTGGTTTTTCGCTCCAAACTTCATTGATGGATTATTAGGAGGGTCTACTATCGCAAGAATGTAAAATCTCAAACCACTTTGAGGGACGATGCCAAGGGCAGGTAGAGCATGAGTTCATTGCCGAAAATTTCGTGCTCAAAAAATATCATTTGATTACATTTGCCTGAACCACACCAAATATTGCGAAAAAACAGCGCAAGTGTATCCAGTAGTCATGGTTTTTGGAGGTAGGGTCTCTGTAGTAAGATTCCATATTTGTTGACGAAATCCTAACTTGGAGGACTTTTTGGCAAGTTTCGAGACAACTGATTTTGTTGGTGTCGAATGATTATGAGAGAAAAGCTATGTTGTTTGTAGTATACCTACATGTTATGGATGTCCTCCTGTTTCCAAAATGAGCGTATTCTATAATTTTCCTAAGGATTTTTCATGAAATGTGTTGAGAGAAACTGGATGAAGCAATGTTTTCGAGAGGGTATTAAGGTGAAGTCTTAGCTCGTGCTGTGATGAGAATTACTGTTATAAGAACTTTGTTCTGTATGTTATTACATCTTCTATAGATTGGATTTCTACAAGCGCGAATGGGAATAGTCCCAACATGGGAAGGGGCTCATTATCTGCCATCTATAGTCGGACGATCATCTGCGCTGAGACTACAAACAACTGCATCAATAATCACAGCACAAGAAGCGAAGGATCTTGGCTATGTTGATGTTATATACGAAAAGGATGAAGAATTTGAAGTGAGCTATTTTCTCACAATTTTTATTGCTGTATATTTTGTGATTTAATCTCAAATGCTCTTTATCTTTATTTTTGTTAAGGAATTAATTTCATCGATGTTGAAAAACGGTGCAGAAGTTTGTAAAGCTCAAAAAGCAATGATTGATGCAACGGGAAAAGGAGAGGAGGCTAAACTTGGTACGTTGACTAAAAATTGGTGTTTTTGGATTTGAATATTTTTCACAGACAAAAATTGGATCTTATTAACCTTTCGCAATTCTGATTATCTTTTCGTCACACTCCAAAAATTACAAGCTGATTCGATAGAGTTTTGACTACTTTATTGCAGCCGTTATACGTTCCGTATGGGGAGGCAAAGCTCAAAAACAAGCTATACAACGGCAACTCGATGCAGTCGTAAATAAGAAGTCGAAGAAGTAGATTTGATAATTTATTGTTTTGTAGAAACATTGTAAAGTGCTCAACTGATGTTACAAGTCTTGCCAAGACTTTTTGGTAGGCATTCTCATGAAATTCTGTGACATTCAACCGTGATGAATTTGATAAATATATCAGCTCTAAGCTTGTGTTTCATGAATTATTTGATGAACAGTCCACCACTTGATTTGTGTTTTGCTAATAGCTAGCATAGCAACATCTTTATTGATATTAAGGCTTTTTCTCTTCTTCGGAACCGCCTGGAGCGCCTGACGGCGGAGCATGTCTACTCCTTTTTGATCTCTTCTTCTTTCTCTTTGATGATTCTGCAGTGGGTTCAAGACATTAGCTTTGTTGGTTTGATTTGCAAGGAAAATTTTAATGTACAAGATAGAATTTTTTCCAACTTACTTTTTTTCTTTTTCTTCGAAGGCCTGAAATTATACGCTTAGTTTCCTTTGGGACTATTTCTTACATTAAATGATTTGCAAAAATGCTTTTTGCCCGGATTCCTCATTTTTCATGTAAAAATTGAATTTGCTGGCTCACTTCTCTCCTGTTGCAGAGCTTCCAGAAGACGATGATGGTGCGCCGGCGTCACCCAGACCTGGTCCCGGTGCCTGAGGGGTGCTAGCGGCCAAATCGGCTACTTGCTGCCGAAGCTCTTCTGATGGAGTAGTCTTCTTTTCTTCCTCCTTTACCTATGATTAATAAGGATTTTATAAGAAGAGCCAAGACAAATCTATGAAGTTTAGGAAAGTACACGACTTAGGCTAGTCTGTGCTCTAAAAGCCAAAATTCTCACTTCGGTTTGTGGTCTGGAAAGAGCTGTTCTTGTGGATGGTTCTTTACGTTCACCTGGTTCGAGCGGCACTCTCCTCTGAAAACTTTCAACATCAACAAAAATAGTTTGTATGAATAAACTTTGCACAATTACGCAAAGAAAATCCTATAGTTTATAATAGATTACTATATATTGTCATTGTAAGCTTTATTCTCGGACCAAGGCAAAGTTATCGCCGCAAAGCCTGAGCGAACGTAGTTTAAAGGCAGTAGATCGGCAGAATGAGACCCGTGAAACAAGGTCACAGGGTAGGAGCCCCCATATGGAACCTATCGGCCGAAGTCCGATCTTTCTTTGCCACTTCTAACCGGAGAATACAATAGATGAACGCTGCTTCCGCGTTGAAATTTCGAGGGTTGGAAGCGGCAGAGAAAGATCGGACTTTGGCCGATAGGTTCCATGTGGGGGCTCCTACCCTGTGACCTTGTTTTGTCACGGGTCTCATTCTGCCAATCTACTGCCTTTAACGACTGTCTTACTGGAGCGCGCACATATGGATGCGCTCAAGGAACCTTGAATTCAACGCAAATACCCTCTTAAGCGCGCTTGGATCATAGGAATATTCCGTCGGGACAAGACTTTCTCAAGCACATCGGGGAGTTTCGTAAGGGTTCCAGGGTTTTTTTAAGGGCCCAAGCTTCTTGGACTTAGCTCTGCTACTGTGATGTCAGGAGGCAGAGGAAGTTCCGCGGTACTTGCGGTCGCAACAAATCCATCCTTTACGACAGTTACCTTATGTACCTTTCAAGATGATCAAAACAGCTCTTAAAATCACTCAAGGGATGTTTCTATATAGGAGATCTGAACAGCATACCTTGTAAATGAAGAAGCCGGCAATTGACAATAAAAGCGCTAATAAAAGAAGAATCATTATTAAGTTCGTTGAGAACACTCGAGTGGCAACCACTCAGAGTAATAGCGTGTAAATAAATGAATTAAACCAAGAATGAGAAAGTTCTTGATTCCGACAAGAACTATGATAAGTCAAAACTGGATAAGATAAGGCTATTCCAGCATCCGGGCCCCAAAATTTCGAAGTCGTGGATTTTGTTCAAATTCGGTCTGAAAAGGTTATTCGACCCGCTGATGCCAAATATCATATTAATTCTGCGCGGTAGGGGTTACGGTGGGTAAAGGGGGTAAAAATCACGGATTTCGCCTAAATTTGGCCTAGAGGGGTTGTTTGCAATGCTGATCACTAATATCATACTTTTCTGCATTTCGAGGCCTTGTCGTGAGTACTACGGTACGTTTACGGTAGAGGGCGAAACTCTCAAATTTGGCTGGAATTCGGTCAGAGGGACTATTTTACATGCTCACAAACATCATACTCTCCTTGCTTTTAGGTTTTTGACCTACGGTAGGTAGACGGTAGAGGCCAAAATCATAGACCTGCTTGAAAATGCAGGGGCTATTCGACTCACTAATCACGATTATCGAGCTCATTCTGCATGGTAAAGCTTTTACGTAGATTTCTGTGATCTAAATTGGCCCGAAAGGCGAAGAAATGTCTAATCCATAGCCTGGAAACTACCGTAACTCGACAATAAAGCGAAGCATGATGTCCGTAATCAGCATGCTCAAAAACCCTTCTAGGCAAAGTTTTGGACAAATTCGGACTTCGAGCTATCTACCGTATACCCACCGTAGTTCAAGAAAATGGCGCTTTTTTGAGAAATTAGCGTGATAATCATGTCCAGCGGGCTAAATAACACACTAGGCGAAGTTTGGAGCTAAATTGTAATTTTGACCTCGTATCGTATACCTACCGTAACTCCATGGAGAATTCCGCAGAATGCGGAAAAAGTATGATATTCGTGATCAGCACGTCAGAAGACTCCCCTAGAACCCAAAATCAGCCAAATTCGTGATTTCATCTCCCTACCGTATGCCCACCGTGGCCCCACCGAATGAAATTTTCGTACAAAAAGAGTGTGATAATCGCAATCAGCATGTCGAATACCCCCCCCCCCCCCCAAAGGTTCACGACTTTGAAATTTTGGGGCCCCGGTAGTGGAATAGCGCCGAGACTCCCGGATTTGCAGCTGCAGCAGCCTTTGTGTAGTTCAAACTTTTATGAACATAGACAGAGAAGTGTGACTGGAAAGAATGGGTGGCTTCAAAGACGCACACTACTAGTCAGCGATTACAGCAGTAAACCACAGAAGGAGAGAGGAGGAAATCACTGATCTGCGATGGCCCCGCCTTTCGAGATAATCCCGCCCACTCAACACCAAAAGCGCGTGCAGACGCGCACAGAAAGCTAATGGGTCAGTTTGGGCACTCCTTATTTAGAAAGATCGTTCTGCCTTTCATTACCTTACAATTAGTCAACTCAAATGTCAAAAACCCGTGCAATGGTGCTTTGGCAAATTCTGCAAAAGCGCGTGGTTCGCCTAATGCGCGACGTAACTTCACACAAATTCAGCATCGCTTTCGCGTGACGATGTTCGATCATTTCGTTTTTTTTTGCTTTGCTTTCGGAAAGGTTCTTTCATTTAGATAAAAAAAAAACATTGCTTTTGCAGAAATGGAAGAGGCTTCGGATGAAATGGTAGCGGGAGATGTGAGCCATGTTCAAGTTTCCTTCTTCAGTGAGGATGAGACGTAAATCTTATTGTAAGCTTTTAACATCGTTTACTTTCCATTATAATGTTCTTTAGACTGAAAGTCATCCCCTCCGCAGTTTTTGATGTTCCTGTGTCAGCCACATACGAAAACCTAAATACACTAGTAAACAAAACTATAGCAGCAGCTCAAGGTTTGCAAATTTCGTCTCATATCTTCAATCTTCGTTCCGTAATTCTTCTCATCTGTAGAAAACTGGAGCGAAAAACGTTTTGAGCTTCTTATTGGTGAAACATTTGTACGGTCGTCTTTAGCTGAGTTTATCGAGGAGCACAACGTTGATACGGTGAGTTTTGCCAAGAGTTTTCGTTTTTTAAATTCTGTTTTTGCAGGAAACAGTCTTGAAAATTCAATGTATACTTGGTAAAGAAACTCCGAAGTCATTCCTTGATATCCCTGCTCCTGACTGGGTATCCTCTGTGACTATCTCTTCTTCGCAGTAAGTAATGCTTCACTCTTTCCTTGTTTGCTTTCCAGTTTAAACTTTTCATTATTCTGTGTTGTGCAGTCCTGACGTTTCTTTTAGTATTTTCTCCACTACCTATAGTGGTGAACTGATTATCAACAATAAGGAAGGCAAGCAACTTCTCGAAAATCACCGAGATAAAGGAAGTGCTTATAAATGCAGTGTTTTATTTCCCAGAGAGAAAAGTACGCCATTTTTCTTTTAAAGCCTCCTTTCTTCTTTTTGCGAGTTGATCCCCGTTTTTAGATTCTAATAAACTCGAAGGTGAGCGGATAGTGGTTGCTGGTGAAAATCAAATTCTCACGTTATTTGAAGTTGAAAACAATGCTCTGAATCCAAAGGTTGTTTTTAAGCTTCATGCTAGATTGACAGCTTATTACTGAAATGTTTAGGTTGTTTTTCGAGGTCATGAGAGGAGCGTTGAATGTGTCGATGTCAATCCCGAGTGTACTCGGTTAGTTTCTGGCGCGTTTGACTCAAACATCAAAGTTTGGAATTTGGAGAGTAAGTGAATTAATTAACTAGAGACTTCCTTCTGTATAATTATTGGATTCAAACGCACGTTAACTTATGGGTTTTGTCAATATTTCAACATCATTTTGATTTTTCTGGTTTAAACATCTTGCTTCCATTTTTGCACTGTGTTGGGGTATTATCAAGATTATTAACCACAGTGCTACTGCGTTACTGTTCACGATTTTGTTCTTTTCAATAGTTTTTGTTTGTAATTTCATGGTGATTTGCAGATGATGAGGATACAGTGTTCGACAAAGCCAGTCACAGTGATAAGCATGCTAAGAAACGAAAGGAGAACTTTATAACGAAGGTTTGCTGCTCGACTGTTGAGCTGGTCTTTGCATGTTCACGATTATTTTAGGTTCCAATGGTAACATTAGGAGGGCATAAAGATGTTGTTGTCGGTCTGAAATGGTGCACATGGAACAATAATCAAGTTGTATCCGCTTCGTGGGATCATAGCATTGGTCTTTGGGATTTACAGCTGGGTAAGTTCACTTTCCTGCATTGTCTATGTGCAGTTAATGTTTCGGAAGAGTAAATGCTGTTATCCTATTATTTATATTCAGTTTTTTGGTCTTTTATAGTTAAAATTCGTCTTCTAAATTTTTGGACAACTTGCTGGATTCATCAACGGCTTATTGATTTATTCTTTTCAAATAGTGATTTTAAGCTGGGGAAGTTTCACGAATACGTGGCACCAAAGCTTTCACAAGTATTGATGTCAACAAGAAAACTGGGCTTGTTATTAGCAGCAATACTGATGCCGTACCTAGGCTTTACGATCTCAGAAGTCATGGTAAGCCTAGTTCAACTTCTCCTACTCTGCTTCTACCTTGCATTTAGATGGATCTGTTGTGAAACAGTCCTTCATTGGGCACACAGGTTGGGTGACCTGTGTGAAGTGGAATCCGAATGACGAATCATGCTTTGTCAGCTCATCATTTGATAAGTCTGTAAAGATGTGGGATCTACGGTAAGTTCTACGCACCTATTTTTTTTCTTCAAATTTTGATTCTGAATCAATTTTTTCGTTTGCTTGTCTGTTTTTGAATAGTTGGCACTCTAAGTCCACGTCATGCTTTTGTTTTCTATGGGCACAATTTCACTAATTTTCAGATCGTCAAAAACTTCACTCTTTGATCTCTACGGCCATGAAGACAGAGTTTTATGTTGTACGTGGAAAGATTCCTTGATTGCTAGTGGATCCGCTGATAACACTATAAAAGTGTTCAAATCTTCCTAGTTGTTATTGCCTCATTGTTACTTATAATATCTTAGCTTGCGAACATTGAGCTTGAGCCATATTGTATTGTATTGTATTGTTGTTGTTGGTTGTTGATAGATGTTATTAGATGTTATTGCGCATTTTTGTTGAAATGAAGATTATCTTCTGTAGTTTGCATTGAAGATACGGTCTGTAAGCCATTCTATTTTCCAATACCTTTCTGGTACAGACTGCTCTAAACCATTTTTTCTTCGCAGTAGCCACTCACAGCCAACACAGTCAAGATGGGAAAGGGTTTTCAAAATTTTATGTCCAAGAAGGACTTCCATCCTAGCGCATGGTGGAATTTGAAAAGAGTGAGTTTTATAAAATTTGGCAAAGTTTTGATCTGTTATCGGTTAATTTAATCTGCAATTGTGCCTTTAGGTGTGGGAAGTGCGGCAAAAGAAAGCCATCGATGACAAAAGACAAGAAGATCTTCGTGTTCAGTATGAGAAAGAGCAAGAAATGCTCAATAACAAGTGAGTTCATTTCGGATATATTACATTTTGCTTTACATCAATCCGCTATCTCTTTTGTTCTTTGCTTAGCTAATTATAAGACTTATCACAAATTCTTTGTTATATTATATTTTCTGTTTGATGTCGTTATAGAGCGTTGCTGGGAGATGAAAAGGCAAAAATGGGTCTATCATTCATGTATGATGCACCGGCAGGAATGGCTAGAAGGGAAGAGCCCAAGGTAAGTTTTTCAGAAGCCTTTATTAATTTGGGATCAATTGTATACCTCAGGAGGAACCCAAATTCGAATGGCAGCGGAAGTATCATGCTCCACGTGAAGAGTGGGCTAAGGATAACGATCAGATCCAAGATCAGCCTTTTGGTATCCAAGTAGGCTCTAAACTTCCCCTTTAGACCGCGAAGTAGGTGCGAAACCTTCTGGATCATTCTGTTTAGGTGCGCAATGTGCGGTGCTGTAAATGTCATAAGTGGGGTCACTTGAACACCGACAATGAATGTCCCCTGTACGGAATGAGTGGCAACTTTGAAGATGCTGGATGTAAGCGTTCACTTTATTTTTAGTGTGATTAGGAGATTTGGTGTGTTGAGCATAATCTGTGTTATTCTTAGAGCAATACTTATTCCCTTTCTAGATGCAAACAATCCATCCGATCTGATCAAAGAATTACGTAAAGAACGACAAGATGTTGGGCCATCTCGCGTGAAAGAAGATCGTCGGGAGAAAGGCGAATTTATGGATCGAACACAATTGGCTGAAGAAATGAAGGAAACCCATGGATTGCGTCTGAAAGGAAACGTTCTGAACGGTAAGCTGTTTGTCGTTGCACTCCAATGGGTTCATAAATCGTGTCAAAAACGTGTTTGTATCTTTGTAACTTGTGACAAGTCTCCAATGCAATTTTCATGAAATCTTACCAATTTGGTGTTTTTTAGGCATTCGAGAAGATCAGGATGTGAGCACGCTGAAAGGTGAACCAACAGAAGCCGAGCAAATGAAGATGTTCCTTGAAGGTTTGAGCGACAAAGAGAAGAAGAAGCTCATGAAGTAAGTTGTCGTTAATTCCAACTGTTCTATATGGAACATGCTGTTGTGTAGGAAGCTCATGGGTGTTACTGGAGGAGATAAAGACAAAAAGAAGAAGAAAAAGCGAAAAGAAAAGAAACACAACAAGAAGAAGCATCGAGAAATTAAGAAGGAAATCAAGGAGGAACCTGAGTCGTCAGAGTCAGACAGCTCAGGTAAGATTGTTTATTTGTTTATTCTGTTGATCTCATATTTTTCCTATAGATGATGAAGAAGATGCGAGGAAGAAGAAACATCGCCGTGATTCGAGCAGTAGCAGTAAGTCTGTTCTGTTTTTGTTTTTGACTTCATATTCATACCGGATTTGGGTTCGAGAGAGAATATTCAATTATAGTAGTCAGTTTTGTTGTCGTTGACAAAATACTAACAACCTTTTTTCTTAAAACGTTGTTAGTATATTATCAAAATGTTTATCACAGCATTACACCACATTTCTGCTGTGTAGCTATGCTGATTTTTAGGTGAAACTGAACGGAAGCCCCCAATGCACGAGAAAAGACGAAATGCTCACGGGAACAGCGACAAAGGTACGCATTATATTTCGTTCCTATAGTACTCCCACCCATTGTGATTTCATACTGAATTTCATTTTTGTAGATGAGGACGAGAGAAGATCGAGAGTAGATAGAAAGAGACGACACGACTCTAGTGATAGAGGCGAGATATATTCTCATTAAAGGCAGTGTCCGGGCAAAAACTCGATTTTGAGATTTTGTGCTTACTTGGGGCTATTCGCTACGCTGAATCCAAAAATCCACATTGGAAAGCGCGAGAACGGCGAAAAACGGCTCTAACACAGTAGGGAAATCAGCAGGTGGGCGGGGCTTTCCCCAGTGCGATTTCACGCTCCCAGCTCCCGGAGCGATTTTCCGATTCCGCTAGCCGTCCTAACATCGCTACCGGTCAAGTGCGAATGATTGACTTGAAACCGGAAGCGAAAAGTTCGCTCCGGAAGCCGGGAACGTGAATTCGTAGTGGGGAGGACCCCGCCCACCTGCTCATTTCCCTCCTGGGTTAGAGCCGTTTTTCGCCATTTTCGCGCTCTACAATGTGCATTTTCGGATTCAGCGTAGCGAATAGCCCCAAGTAAGCACAAAATCTCAAAATCGAGTTTTTGCCCGGACACTGCCTTTAAGAACTCTTTACATACCATGCACTTTAGAAGAGGATAGAAAGAAAGAGAAGAATGGTCGAGAAGGGCGCAGACATGATTCGGAAAGTGATAAGGGTGAGTGGTTTTTTCTTTTACAAAACGGTCTGACTGACAATTTTTCTTCTCATATTTTTTTGGATGAGTGTATATCATGTACTTCAGAAGATAGAAAGAAAGAGAAAAATAATCGCGACCGGCGCAGACATGATCCGGAAAGTGATAAGGGTGAGTTGCTTTTTCTTCTCAAAAACATGCATAACTGGTAATTTTCTATTTCTGCCCGCAACATGTTTTTGGATGAGTATATGACATGTACTTTAGCAGAAGACCAAAGGAAAGTAAAGAATGGTCGAGATCGGCACAGACATGACTCGGATAGTGATAAGGGTGAGTTGCTTGCTTCTTCTTGTCAAAAACTTGCATGACCGATTATCTTCCACCCTCAGTGTACTCTTTGATGATTTCCAGAAGAACGTGATCGCAAGCAGAGAAAATTGGAAAGAGAAGAGAAAGAACGCCGTCGACGTCATGACTCCAATAATGACGAAGGTAATGATTATTTCTTCAAAAGTTTATGCCCTTGTTTCCTCCATATGTCTACCGATTTTCTGAAGATTGGCATTATGTAAAAATTATGCTTTATAGGGTGTAATAGCTCTCTCTAAATATTTCTTAACTCAGTTTTCTAGATAGGGAGAGAGGCTCAAAGGGTCAGCGCAAGGATGCGTCGTCAAGTCGACAACGAAAGGATTCAGGTAGCAGCGATGGTAAGTCCATATGAGTGATACGCTTTGAAGCCCTCTTTTGTCCGTTTTCAAAGCTAGATAGCACAAATCATATATATACATTTTTCGCTATTATTTTTAGAAGATGCCAAGGGCCAAAGCAGCAGTTACGATCGTGATGAGTCGAAAGGAAAATCCCGTCATGGGACTAACGGCAGAAGAAGGTTATCTTAAAAATGTGTTTTTGCATTTTTCGAAATGTCTTTTTTTCACTGATTGAGAGATTTGAAACTTATTTAGACGCAGTACATCTTCACCATCACCACATAGACGAAGAAGGAGTTCATCAACAAGATCGAGATCTCCACGCGATAGAAGAAGATGAATTTGAGTTTGAGAGATAACACTTTGTATGGATGTATTTTTTTTTGCACTGGTGTTGTATTGTACCGTGTATATAGTGGATATATAATACCTCAATTTCTTTTCTAGAAAGTGATACCACCAATGAACTTATAGTAGTGAATCTGTTCTTTGTGATTGTCTATATGTATCTCGTAAATAAAAATATTGTAAGTATTTGTTTCATGGAATTTTGTTTTCTAAGCGGAGAACATGAACACGGGAAGTCTGACACAGTTTGTGAGCGAAACCCTGATTATAATGAACTGCAGTTTACCTAGAGGGTATGGTTTCGAAAACCTGTAAGGTTAGCTGTGGTTCAAGTACATTGGGAAGCAGGCTGACAACACTTGTGCGTAAACAGAACTATGGAGTGATCTGATATTTTAAAACGCGTTACCAATTTTCAACGCGCAAGTGTTGTTGGCGATGCAAGTGCACTATATCACCATTCATCTATCATACTATAAACGGGCAGCGAAGCCGCGCTGCTTCAATGGTCGCAGTGCATACATTGTCTGCGGGTTCGCAGCAAGTTGCATACCTGGCTGTGTGACTCAGAATTGCTAAGAAGAATGGTTTCCTTTCTCCTGCCGCGGTAAAAACCGTATGCTTCTGAGGTTACTTTTAATACAAGTGAAGCAGTAATTAAAGGTGCTAGACTGCATTCGCGCGCTTCGGGACCGCACCGCGGTTTCCCGCTATTTGCAGATTTTTGAACTGCGCTTACGTTTCTTTGTATATTAGATTAGATAGATCCTTTACAAAAAATGCTTTTTTCCTTGATAAAATGTTCAGAATTTTCATTTACAGTACTCCATGCAAAGTCAGTGAACTGTTAGCATTGTGTTATACTTATTTTACTCATCATTTTCTCTGTGAGATGCGGCAAACAAGCTTTCACATTGATTTTTGCTTACTGTAAGCGTACAATAGTTACAAATTACTTCATCGGAAATTATGCACATGCACAACCTATCACAGAGCATCGGTGTACGGTAATGCGACACACAAATTAAGTACAAACAATATTATTGAAGGAGGAAAGCTGAATAGTGAAACCTGTTCAGTATTGGCCCGTATGCGAACAAATGTCATAGCAAGAAATGGCGGCAATGATATTTGGAATGGTGAAATATATAAAATCAATACCTATATCTACAACTGCGTCATTGGCACAGGGTAATTGGTCAGTATACGGTAGTTACCGTCTGGCATGACCATTGGTGGAAGATGGGAGGGTGGCGGTCGTAGCGGGGCTTTCTGCTTGGGCAGAAATGCTGATGTGGGACTTTCGTAAGCGGAGTCTTGGGATTCGTCACTTGTACAGTAAGGGCTGGGAACTTGGTCGAAACCGTACTCTTTTCGTGTTAGGGCGTTAATTAGGGCCTGATGATGATAGATCGAAGACCTATGGGGCGTTGGCTTTTTCATGAGCAGAATAGAAATCAAAATGACAATCAGAAATAGTACGATAACGCTGAGAATCAAAGGCAAAACCATTCCATGTAAAATCGAGCACGTATCGAGTTCGTTTAGCGGGATTCCCGCGAGAGTTTCCGGTGAAGCACATAGGGCTGTAGAGGGGAGATGAAGTGCCCGGAGCTCACAGGAACAATCCCAGGGATTGTTGTCCAAATCCACGGAGACTACGGTAGAGAGCTGCATTGTCGATGGAAGCGTTTGGAGACGATTCCCAGCCAGGGAAAGCATCGTGAGAGGTGGGAAAGGTTGGAATGCCGTTGGTGCGATGTGGTTTAGAGCGCAGTTGGAGAGATCCAAAGTTCTTAGGGACGACAGAGAGACGAAGGCGGCCATCTAAAAATGAATTTAATCAACTCTATAGTCCATTTCTCATAGAAGGTCTCTTTTGCTGTGCGAAAACTTTTCCTGGGCTGCGTCTAGAGTTGCCGTGTCAGCGCCGTGCCGCCATATCGATGCCAATGCAGTGTGCGTCTGGGTTCCGGCACAGCGCTGGCACGGCAACTCTGGACGCGGCATGCTTGAAATTTTAGCAAAAATCTTCAGATTAGATAGATTTTACACTCGAAACGTCTTTCTTTCGATGGAATGCGGTATTTTAATAAGAAAAAATTCTGAAATTTCGGCTCACATGAACTGTCTTCAAATTCCGACAATTTGACAAGTTCAAAAATTGCAAGGATGGCAATGTATCGAACGAAGCAGTTTCCAAAGCCACAAAAGGATTTCCAGACAAATCCAGTGACCGAAGCGATGGAAGTGGCCAGGTGTTTCCAGGTAGGCGGACAAGCTTAAAATTATTGATTTTCCAAGGGAATTTTATCTTTCCAGTGATCAACAAACCTGGTTATTTGTCATATTCAGCACGGTTAGATTGTCCATTCCAAAAAATGCGCCGTCGTAGATATCACTAATCAGGTTGTCAGCAATGTTTAGCGTCTCCAAATCGCGCAATGCCGAAAACTGGCCTGCTTCGAGCTGAAAAATTCCAAGAATGTTTGACGCGGTAAAATGGATGTAGACTGAATAAGTTGAATTCATCATAAATTCCTCTTCGATTTCTAAGGAGTTGAATTCTTTGAAAATTCTTTCAGTTCAAAAAGCTCATTCGGATGTTCTGTGATTCGAGAAAGTGGATTCTTGGAGAATTCTTCTTTGATTCAAAAAGATTGAATTCTTTCTTTCATTTATTATTATTTCTGAAGAACAGGCTTGAAAATCTATTGAATTTTACGATAATTTTCTCATAATTTTTTTTGCAAAAAAAACACTTTGGATGATTCGAAATCGTGGTTAAGTCTTATTGCTGGATTATGAAAATGTCATGTAACTTTTGATTTTCAATCTTAACTAAGGAAATTTGCATATATCTGAAAGCTTTTAGAGAGTGAAGCTAGTCCATAAGTTTTTTTCACCGATTCACTTTTCTTATTAACCCCCTTATCATTACTTTATCTACCAGTTCCTTTTTTGACAAAAACACATAGTTTAGGAGACTTGAGTTTCGATTTTTTCGCATCATCCCATTTTCCATTCGCATATATAAATTCCAAAAATTTTTATTAATGTCCTCATCTTTTTTTGTCGGTTTTCTCTGAAACTGGGAAGTGGGATTATCATTACTTTTATGGGATTTTTTTAATCCTTTTGATTATAACTTTAGTATTTTTGGTGAAATATCCCATAACCTTTTTGAAGAGGAATCAATATATTTCCCCGACTTTTTGCAAACAAACTTAGCAAAACTTACATCGGACAATAAATTGTGGCTAGCATCGAGATGTCGCAGTTGTGGAACCGTTGAGAGCAGCGAAGCTGGCAAAGCTAGCAGCTTATTGTTTCCCAAATTCAATGTATGCAATGACTTCAACGTTTTGAAGACCGATGGTGGCAGATAGGTGAGCCTGTTCGAGGTGAGATCCAGCTCTCGTAACGAGGAGAGCCCTTGGAAACAATCGGGCGAAAGTTGTAGTTCGTTGTTCCTCAGAATCAACGTCTGAAAAGACGGCTAGAATAACTGGCTTACTAGATAAGGCAGAGTAAACAGTAATTATATTTTCTCAAGACTATTGTAAGTCAATTAGTGCACATGTCTCAGAGGCAGATGGCACAAATTATTAATTGACCCTCGAACTGTCAGTAACCGTTGACTGACAGCATCCCATGAATAAATTTCAATGACATGACAGTGGCTGTCAAGTGAGTAATTGCGAATTGAACGAACCTCGAGATTTTTAAGCTTGCTGAAGACGTTCTTCGGTGAGGAGAGGAGGTCGTTGTTGGAGAGATCGAGATGTTTTAGGTGGGGAAGGGAAGCGAAGGCTTCTGCTGCGATGTGGGTAAGAGAGTTGTTTGACAGGGAGAGAAATTCCAGATCTGAAAAAAATGCAGTCTTTCTTTGGAATAGATGTGAAAATATAGAAAAGTTTCAGTGTCATTCGCGAAAATTGTTTTTTTTTTGAATCAATCAATAAATCTACTTCTTGGAGTCATTATGGAACTGATTCTGAAAGACCAATCTAAATAAAATGTATGATAGACACTTTTAGAGAATCATTCTTTGAAAAATTGATCAGTGTAGAATTTGTGAGTATTCGACTTTTCTTTATAGTTTTGTGGAAAAACTGAGTTATTTAAGATATCTATAATATTTTTCTCCTTTCAACATTAAATCAAGTAAAAAATTTTCAAGCAAGAGCGACACGTCATAAATAACATAGATATAAATAAAATAAAGTCAATTAATTAAGATGTAAATAGTGCAGCTTATATGAAGGACATCTTTATGATTTACTTAATTTACAAAAAACTGTAAACAATCTTTTATTCTTCTGTTTTCTTCACCTTCAATTTTTGTAATTTTCTTAATTTCACATCAGACAGCTCTTTTATTAACTTTCCACAACTTTTCGACCCTTCAATTTTTGTAACAACAGAGATTTATAAGAAGATACAAAAAGATGTGAAATAATTCACAGAATTAGGTGATTCAAAAAATGATATCAAGAATTTCCTGTTTCAACGGGGTGATATGGAATATCGGATTACTATTTGGAGCTGGTAACACTTCCATCAGTCTGAACAACAATTGAATTCGAAGGGGTTTACACCAGCGGAGGATTTTTTGATGCGCTTTTTTGACTTTTGGGAAAGAACGTAGAAATTTTGCCGAATTTTCATTTCTTGGCTTTTCAACAATTCCACGATACCCTTTTTTATTTCGGCTAAATTAAGCTGGTTGCAACCAACGTTTGAACACAAACTATAAATTTCTCGCCAGATCTAAGGATGCCACCCCCTCAGTTTCTACCCTCCTGAGATTTGCTTTCGCATTGCTTCACAGGGGCCCTTAAATTTCAATTTGTCCCCTCCGGTCAGATGACAAGACGAACGACACCGAACATTCCCATCGGGAGCATTTATCTCCACTCAGCTGACGCGAAAAATTCTCAGCGGTGTTCGTCTTTATGCTTGTGTTATAAAAAAAAGAAAATAGATTGGTTAGAAGATTGATGGGACTTTTTTTGCATATCTGGTGGGCGAAGTCTGAACCCTTTGCTCCCCCCCTAAGAACAAAAAATTCTGTTTTGTACAGTCCGTTGTGATAATGATGGCATAATTGCGGCTTTGTCTTTGAGTGACCATGCATACGCGTAGCGCAACCACCTGTC